TATTTTTTTCTGCCGTAGTCGCCATATATGGGCATGCCCACCAGCATTAAACACGCGATAATACAGCCTCAGGTTTTGCATTCTGACACCCAAAGTTTTTATGAATCGACATTGTGGAAAAGAGAAAAAGAAATTTGCTTATCACGAATGGCACGCAATACCAAAGAATACACTGGGGTATATACAAATAATATTATTTACATTATTATTACCACAACGTATATGTTTTATGCTATTACAAATTCAAGTTTATACTTCAATATCATTTCGTTTCAGGATTTCTTACTACCGAAACGAACAATTTTTAATACCACTGATGACGATAAGGTACAGTACACCGTACCACATGTAAAAAACGCAGACGTCACGTATACAATTAATGTTACGAAGGAAGGTAAATTGAAAGAGATATACATATTTATTTTCTAAAATAATTGCTTTATTTTTTATTTGCGTATTTTATACAATGTTCCATTAAATGAGTTTTTATCTGTTGACCCCGAAGGTAATTGCACCGAGGATAAAGAGTCGCCAAAAGACAAAATAAATAGTGCGTCCACGAAAGTTTCCACTTCAAACGAATCCATACAAAACCTGAGGAATGCCCTCGATCGTGCCACGGAAATAATATGCTCGACAACACCCAAAGTGCATAATTCTAAGTTCAATCTGGGTACTATACAAAAATGCGAAGCCGTTTTCGAAGACTTGTTCGGGACGAAATATAATGACGATCGAGAGATCGGAGTTATCGAAAAAGCGACAACTGGCAACGAGAGTTTCTTGGCGATGGATGATGTTAAAAGTACAGGAGCCGAAACTGCCGCAAGACACGAACAGAGCTTTAATCAAGCTTTCATAATGGAATCTGAAACATCGGCGCGGAATCAACTGACAATTCAATCGAACTCGCACGAAACTAATCGCGATAAGATACCCTTAACAAACGGGATTGTATCAACCCCACAGAAAATCAAAGCAGTTGAAAGAGAGTACGTCAACGTGCGTACCACTTTGAACGGTACTATAATAAAAGACTCGCCAAGAAGACGTTCTCTACCCGCAAGACTGAATAATTTGACAGTGGCACATGCTCCAAGGACTGTGTATAAAAAGGTAAATACGCGAAGACAATTTTCTAATATAAATCGCTCATTCGATCTTTGTTACAGAACACGCAAGGCAGCCAATGTACGATTGAGGACTTTTATATCGACGATGATTTTGAAAGTAACTTGAATTATAATTTAATTCTCTTAAATGATAATATTACATTAAGCGACGATGACGGTCTACTTCAGACCACAGAACTGTAAATTGTATCGAACTCAATGTTCAGTCGTTCAGTCAAAGGGGAATAGGGAATTGAAATGTGTCCGGAGGAAGCGAGAAAGGAAATCGTAGTGCCTCTCTCTTGTGAGTAACTACTCGAAAGTACGCATGCGCGCAATTACGTTTGTTTGGCCGATTTGAAGTTCCGCTTGGGACATTGAGTGAATATTCTAAGTTAGAAGACTATTTTTATCGCTGAGATTACTTACATTACGCAAACTGACAATAAATTAAATACATTTTTATTCACCGCAAATAGGAAACTGATTTATCCTTTTTAACACATAAAATACAATATAAACCCATTTTGCTTTAATTTTAGACAATTTTTTATGCAACCCCGAGGATCAAAAAAATTCATTTTCTAAGACATCTTATTGCTCATGTTTTACCAGCAGCCTATGAAATTTCCTTTCTATTTTGTCCATGTCCAACGTTATTTTCGTCTCGTCAGGATGCAATCCAGCTTCCAATAAGCCATGGAGAATCGATGGGACATTCTGTAAGTTTATAGGTAATTAAAAATTCATTTTTTTGATCCTCGGGGTTGCATAAAAAATTGTCTAAAATTAAAGGGTTTATATTGTATTTTATGTGTTAAAAGGATAAATCAGTTTCCTATTTACGGTGAATAAAAATGTATTTAATTTATTGTCAGTTTGCGTGATGTGAGTAATCTCAGCAATAAATTTAATTATTAAACTATTTAAAAGGAGAGAGTGCCAATGTGAGCCACAAATTTAAATGAACGGAACTCTGTTCTCACAATATAGAATCAAAAATTTTCCTCTTTAATAAACATTTCGACCCTTCTTCTTTAAACGAGTTTTACTGAGGAAGACCCGAAGAAGGGTCCCAAACGTTTATTAAAGAGGAAAATTTTTGATTCTATATTGTGAGAACCGAGTTCCGTTCATTTTGTGGCTCACTTTGGCACTTTCCTTTCTACATATGTATTTTCTTTTTGAGAGCCTTCACAACACTGTGGAATAAACAATTTAAATTAATTATCATTGAAACTTGACATTTTAACTATTTAAATGTATTATACACTCACACATACACACCGATGCTTGTGTGACAGCAAATGGCGCGCATGCGCACTTTCGAGTAGTTGCTCACAAGAGAGAGAGGCACTACGATTTTCTTTCTCGCTTCCTCCAGACATATTTTTCTCTCGAAAACAATAGGCATTCCCCTTCCATATCATATATGTTCTAAGTTTGTATCGAACTCAACGTTCAGACGTTCACACCCTTGTGTAAAAAAACAAAGTTCTTTTTTTAATTTATTTTAATTAATTTATTTTTATGTATTTTCTTTCGACGGCATAGAATCGATGCTCTTACTTTACCGGCATTCTGACGACAAGATTAATGTAAATAATATCTAACAACATTCATTAATTCTAATTGCTTATTTATAATTTACACAAACACAAATAATCTAAATGTTCATTATATATGACTGAATAAATTTATACAATTGACAAAAAATTATCTCATCATTATCATAAAATGACCAAGAGCTCGTGCATATAAGTAAACTTGTTTAAATTCGTTCTTCAATCATTCAAATATAATTGAACAAGTGCGAGAGTAAGACAGAGAACTTTTTACAAGTTTATTATACAGGCTTTGGAAACGTTTTGTATAGATTTCGGATTACTTGTTGTATCTAGATATACCTTACTTTACATAACGAGCACAATTGTCTTGTGCAATAAAATAAGAATCAATATTTGGTTGCATTTATTTTTCACAGAAGTTACAATGTAGACAGAGATATCGTTTTTCGTAAAGGTAAATATAAGAAAGTTAAATATATTTCAGCGCACCCTCTCTCTCTATTTTGCGTACGTATGTCCGATTTTATATCACACACGTTAATCATTGCATCGCGCAACTACATTTAAGCGGAGCACAGTCTCGTTCGGGCTCCTCTACCTCCCTAATTTCTGCAAATTTGTGCAAAAATATGAAGTTTCGTTAGGTGACTATAGAACAAAACGTTTCATCTCTGAAAGCTGGCATTTACTGTGCATCTCATAATTGCCAAATTATGTATCTTCTCAGGCGCAGGATTTTGCTCGGCGGGCGGACTTACAGGGCCAGCCCGAAGACTGACACGATGCAATACATGGTTTTATTTTCCCAGCGCACTGTGCAGCTGCCGTCGGTGGCGTTGTCCCAGTAACACGAACTTGCGGTGTGGAGGCCAGCGCCGTTCTTCTGCATGATCGTACAAGTCACTGCAAACATACAATTTGATTGAGGAAAAGTTGTGACTCGGATAAAGGACATTGTTCCAGAGTACACCCCAGAGTCGATACATTGATACAAAATCCGTCTCCTAACGTTAAGAAATTTGCTGTACGCACCGATATACTTGTAAGCCTTCTGTAACTTTGTAAGGTTGCCCAAGCACGCCTCCACCACGTTCGAGGTCCACTGATTAACTTTGTTATGCTGATACGTATTGCCACCTATCGACACCTCGATCGCCTCTTTAATGATGTTGCTCACGTCGTCCACGACAAATTACAGCTGGAAGCGCAGCGAGACTAAGAATCGTTTCACACATGGGTGCATTTGAAATTTAATCAAACGGACGCTGGAGTACTGTTTTAAAATTTAGCATCGAAAGATGGATTAAATAGCCAAGACTTTAGACTCAAGCTTCTGACGACGAGGAAAGATCCAGCTCGAGTTTGTCGCAATCAGGTTCTTTCTATACATTGCGTACACACTTTGAAATGATCTTGTAACAGCGATTCAGACACAATTGATTCACTTGGATCTCCGTGTCCGATAAACGAACGACGGAGAGATTCGTATCGAGACAGTTTGTTTTAATTAAAATAATAAAGAAACGTCCACGGTTAACCTCTTCTTGCGCATCCTCCATCTCGTGCGTACGCTGAGGCGCTTCGGACACCGAGAGAGCGATTTTCGTGACAATTCAAAGCCCCTTGCGCATCCGATTGAGGACGACCGTCAGGAGCAGCTGAAAAATGGAAATACTACGAAATGTGGTTTGTCATGACGAGCGAGACCTACGATCGTCTTTCTCTCTCTCTCTCGCTCCGACAACGAAAGCGTCGCTAAACTTGATCGTCGCACTGTCTCGCGTCAGTTTCGCTGGAATTGCCTCCTGTAACAACGCTGCGTGACAATTGGTTCGTAAATACAGCCAGCCGTAGTCGATAATGTCAACTGTCACCAGTGTCACCGCGCCGGTTCACGGTTGCGTTGCCGTACTCGCATACCATACGCATTCATATATTTATACACAGAACGGTCATGCGCTCTTGAGCGATCCCCGGCGGCGACGACGAGAGGATTGGTCATTGGCTGGACGCTCGGTGAAAGCGAAACGCGGCAATTAAAAAAGCGCGACGAACCATCAATGGTAGGCACATATGTCTACAGACACGTGCACCTTGAAACATACCAGCTGTAGATATAGAAGCCTTCACAACTTTATACCAAGGACCTTTTTCTAATATAGGGTATCCCACAAGACCGCCTATTTTGAAATTAGCGCTATTTTTTTTGTGTCGTACAGCGATACATCAATTCGACGGTGTCGATGTCGATTCGACATCGTTTCGACGTCGATCGACGAATCATTTCTCACTGGGGAGGAGGTGAAAGAGGAGCATGAGTAGAACACAAAATGTAAATAAAACTTTTTTGTATTTGCTATGGTTTAGGAAATACAACGCTTTATAGGGGTGCATAAAAAGTGTGAAACCTCTTAATGTTTCGAAAAGTACTCATTTTCGAGAAAAATGTTTTATATAAAAGTTGTAGAATATAAGATCTGACTCGAAGTGTAGATAGTAGTTCTCTCAGATATTATTATCGTTATATAAGCAGATGGACGCATGTGGATATTTTTTCAGCAATTGGTCAATAATGCTACTTTTTATAACACGGATTCGCAGAATAGGTATGTGTCAAACTGTACTTCTTTTAGATTTTTACAGTGTGTCAGTGCTTCATGTATAACACTGCAGTTCAAATACGGCAAATGCACTGTCTCCAGACGTTGACAGGAAGAAAACAATTTCCGCCAGGCGATTGTATAATATTCACAGCTGTAACTAAACCACACTATTATTGCGATTTCTCGTAAAGAGAAGAACACGCTATAATATATTTTACGATACTTGCAAGAGTAAATACATAAATTACGATAAAGAATATAATAATACACTACTCAAAAAAAAATAGGGAACACTTTTCATACCCTAAAAATTGGGCTATTTTCAAACCACTGAAACTCGGCGAAAAATAATCGTAGACACAAAATTAAAAAAGCATTTT